TCATAATCTTCCTCGTTTACTTTTCATGCTTTTTCAGCTTCTTGGGGCTTCCTGTTGTTCATGGGTAGGACTTATGGCAGGTGTTTTGAACCTTGTTTCCCTAATAGATAGGGTGTAGAATGGTTCCTGAGTTTAACATGTGAATGTTGATATGTGAGGAGTGGAAGGGCTGCAGTTAGGATTTTGTGCATCTTGATTTGCTCTTTAGTTCATTTCATGAAAGGTGTTAGCAGGCCCTGCAAAAAATTAATCACAGTCCTATAACCTGAGAAGAAAGCTGATAACGTTTAAGGGTTGGAAAGGAAGAAATACATACTTTCAGCACATGAACAGTCTTACATCTGCAGAAGCAAGGAGACATGATTATGTAGATTACGTGTATGTGGAGAGAATGACTTGCATCCAAAATGCTATTTATAAGAAAATTAGCTAGACAAGTCTAATAGGCTGAAGTGATAAATATCAATATCTCCCTGTCTCCCCGACTTCTAATTCTCAGAAGCTGCATTTTTTGCAACCATATAATGTTTTGTACTTCACAGCCCTGGAAACTGTGACCTTTGGTACTTTAAAAATTTTTTTGGAATATTTTAAAAATTAGCCCCAAACGGAACTGCTACCAACCACTTGCTGGGTTTGAAGAGATTCTTCTGCTACAGGATTCCTGCATAATTGTCAGGTTTTGAAGTTAGGAACGCATTTTCCAAGTATGTGTCTGACAGAGAAGAAAGCAGTTTGACATCTTAGCATTGTACCATTATCTGTTTGCAGAAATGAACACAGCAAAGCTGAATGTTCCTTGAGGTGTTTCCCCCTCCCCCCCCCCTTTCTCTTTTTTTCTTATGTTCTTTGGGAATATGTTGTCTTCTTACATTTTTTTGTGCTCCCCTTGGATTTTTCTCCCCTGGCCTGAGTTTATTCTTCGGGTTTCCGCTGTTCTTTTTTTGCTTGTGCCCACAGTTACATTTCTTCATTGGGCAGCAAGTTTTCAGAACAAGGTGTACTGTTCAGAAAGGATTTGGCCTAAGGTATTAAGAATTTCAAAACCTGGTCATACTGATGCCACAAGTCCAGAAAGGGGAAACTGCACCAAGAGGCTTTGAGGAAGTGGGTGAGGTATAGGGGAAGGAGTCTGTGTGGTTACTGGTGCTACGCATCACACCTGCAATAGTGTCCAGGAGAGGAGAGTAATCAGGGATAATCCCTAGACTATGCTTGGTCAGTTTGTTTGAGGGAATTCAGTGGTTGTATTTAGTGTTTCTTTAAAAGAAACTTAAAAAATTAGATTACAAAGTTGAAAAGGGAAGCTCAAGGAAGTACCTTGGTGAGACCTGCACAAGTGAGGAAAAATGGTTGTCTTCTCAAGGTTAATTTTGTATTGGAAGCAGGAAAATCCAGAAAAGTGAATGGGTGTGCAGAGGTGTGTTCATCACTTTTATTATAATAGAAGTGAAAGACATAATTTACAGACTAGTTAACGGACTTGACCTTTCCAAACTTGAGATGATGCCCTAAGTTTCTGGAGAGTTGCACAGATTTTGGAGTACTTCCAGATTGGTAGGGGGACCTGGCTGCTTTCACAGTCACATTACTTTCCCTGCTCCCAGGGATACTGTAGCTGCTGCTAGTCTGTTCTGCAAACTGAGAGTCCTCAAGGTTTTCCCTCTTCAGTCAGGTTAACTTCAAATCCTGTATCTCCAGAGGGACAGATGATGCCATGCTCTGCTTTTCCTTTTTGCATGCCTCTTCTTCCATTGTATCTGCTGTGGTTCCTCTCTGCATGTGGAAGTGATGATATATCATCTGCAGCCTGAATGTCTTTACCTACCTATCATCCTTCCTCTCCTTCCATTATCTTTTAAGCCATAGCGACTCAATTGTGTGTTGATTTCTTTTTTTCTTCCTTTCCTGTTTTTCCTTTTTTTTTTTTTTTTTCCCCTCCCCATTCTTTTGTGGAGGAACTATTTCTCTCTGGTCTTGTATTCTACTTAGGAGTTATTTACTTAAACTTGATGCTGAAACTTATGGTTTATAGTGGGCTCTATATCTGAATTATGAAAAGTCTTAAAGCTCCCATCCAGAATATCCATAAAAATTTGAAATGAACTATATTTTGTGAGTGTGATTGTTCCAAATTGTTCATGTTAAAAGTTTCTACATTTGACAACCCTGACAGACACGTGGTGGCCATTGCTGTGTGCTTGTACATTGACACGGAGATGTTCCTTGTAACTTTAGATACATTCTGGTGAGGATGACAAGCGCAGCAGAGACAGGCTACTGTTTCAATGTCAGGAGACTCCGGCTACAGGAAAAACTGGTCCTGCTGAGATACGATCCTCTTGGTAAGAGTTTGGGGAAGAGGTTGGCCTGCTTTGTATAAGCTTTTCTGACTATATGTTAAATGATTTGAAAATAACATAACTTTTCCAGTTTAAACAGAATATGTCATAACATGTTTCATCCTCAGATGACTGTATAGTTGCTGTTCTTTATGACATTCCACTGGGAAGTAAACGTTGCCTTCATTTTACAGTTTGTGGCACTGAAACAAAGTAATGACTTGCCCAAGACATCACAGTGTCTTTGATGACAGCTATGCCACATGTCAGTGGCACAGCAAAGTGACACAGGAGTTCTTTCATTCTGTTTCTTTGTGTGGGTTGCTAGATCATGCTACCTCCAACAAGCAGCCACGAAGTATGCATCAGTAGAAATGTTAAGCTGCCATGGGTGCTCCAGACAATGAACTTTGACCATCACTTACAAAATGGACTTCTTTTAAGACATAAACACCAGTTCTCCCTTTTTCCTCCCCCACAAAAGATACTCTTCTCCAAGTGAGAGTTTGTTGGTTCTTTTATGTTCCTCTGGTCCTTGCAAATTTTTTTCAGTCTGAGAATCTGATTTGTTCGGAGTATACAGCACTTGCCAAGAGTGCCTTTTACTCACAAAGCTTTTTGAAAGGTAACTTAGAGCTCAAGTTTCTGCGGTAGGAACCAGTCTGTAGCTAACATTAAAAAGGTTAATTTGGGGAAACTTAAAAAATAAACCAGACCAGGCTAGAAATAGCACAGGAGAATTAATGCAAAGAAGGATTATTTAAATCTATGGAATAAAGCTACTGCAAGTGTATAATATAAAGCATGGCCAGTGGTTATGTGGTTCACTTTTTTTTTTTTTTTTAATAATTTTATGTTCTTGTTAGATGACTAACCTTTTATGCTCTGATAGAACAGTACAGGAGCTTTACTTCAGGTGAGACAAACTTCCAGAGAAACAGTATGAGAGAAACGCATCAAAGTATTAATGCTGACCAAAGCTGTTGCTCTTCTGAATTTCATACAGAATGAGAATCTGAGATCACTGGGATTATTTTCTTGAACTAGAAAACAAGTTTGAATTACTGTTCCCTGTACTGCATCAGAACATTGTGCAAAATGTTCTTCAGAAGTTTCACAATTTGTAGGAAATGTGACTCATGCTACGTAGTAGTTACATTGTAGAACACGGTGTAGGTTGTTGAAGTAATAGAAATTGGAAATAATGAAGAAAAAGAATCTCTGATTTTCTTTGTAGCCTATACTAGAACACAAGTGAGAAACTGATGCAACAAAGTGATGCATGTGTGAAGGAAAGTAAATTTGGGCCTAGGTATCAGCTCACCTCAGGAATATGTTAGGAAGCGTTTTCACTTGGCACGTATTTTCACCTTGTGTTTTGTACTTTTTGGGAACAGGGGGGCCTCCACAGAGTGAATCTTTTTAGTGAAGTAGTGGCAGTAGTGCAGAAGTTTCACTACCTCATAACTGCAACAGAATGCTTAGTAAGTTGCAATATTTCTTAAAGTGAAACTTACGTGGAGGAAATAATTCTGTTGCTTTGTGGATTGTCCTTGTATAGTTGTCAAAGGAAATAATATGTTGAGGTTTAATTGGAACAGTGGCACTCTTCAAATGGTATTGTAAATCTTTGTGTTGATTCTTTCACATTAATGCTTCAACTGTGCTTGACGTATAAGTAAATGGCTTCGTTAACATCATTATCAGGTGTTGGAGGCAGGCTCGGTTTGTGGCTTATTGAGAAGTTCACATGGCACTCAGTTAACTTTTCTGTTGGTATGTGAGACCAATCAGATACAGCTTGTAACTTGTAATTGTTTGGGCTCTGAAGTCAAAGAGTACTAGAATGCAGTAAAAACCTATTTTTGTCCCTATGTTGAACAGCTGTGACTCAGAATAGTCACAGGGAGCAGCTGTTGAATGTTTTCAGGCACTTAAATCCTGATATTTATTTTCACAGAGGTAAAATAGACCTCTTAGGAACTGAAAATTACATGCGGTAAAGCAAAAACACTGCTAAATTCCTTCAAGAGTTGGTTAACGACAGCACTGTGCAAGTCACGGTTGCTCTATGTTCATTTCAGTACAAAGGCAGTCAGGAGAAAGGGATGTAAGTAAGCTTGTTGTTGAATTGAATCTTAATTCTTGCAGTTTCTTAACAAATTGTTCTTCTCTCTCTCTCCCCCCTCCTCTCTCTCTAGCAAAAAAGCGTGTCCTCTTCACAGAGAAGAGAAAAATCCGTTCTATCTGAACAATGACTGGACTTGATTTATGCATGAGGAGAGGACGGCTGGGGGGAGAACCGGGTGAACACTGATTCAGAAATCCTGCAACATGGGCTGAAAAGAGGAAATGAACTGGGATCACCGTCTCCTGTGATTTGAAGGCCATTGTGAATAAAACAATGTAGAGAGAGAAAATTCTTAATGTCTGGACATAGATCATCACAGCAACATTTATTTATCTTTTGAGTTATTTTTACAGTCCTCAATTAAAAAAAATTAAATAGCAAATCCCATTGTCTGTGTTTTCCATTGTGAAAGAGGCTGTAATCTTCAAAGGAACTATTGTTTTATAAGGCAATAAAAATTAACAT